GCAACTGTATGCTTTTCTCCCAAAGTTTCTGTATCTGTAACTCAAATATTGCAATACCTCTTTTATTCTCTTATAGAGTTATTATGATTAAATTAGAATCCCAATGTTGCTCTATGAGTAAACTGTGACTGGCTCCGGTCTTTTGTTACACAAGTATAAGATTTTTATATTATGCCAAAAAATCATTAGAATATTAAGTCTTAAGAGCTTAATTTGGACAACTTTAAAGGCAATTTTATTTATTTATTTTTTTAGATTTCAAATGTTTAAATAGTTGTAAGCTAAATATTATTCTGTCTGAACATTAAAGGAATATACATTAATGGAAAGTTCATTTCATTCATTCATTCAAGTCCTTCGGCTTCAGCTTTTTCCTTTTATTTATCAAGGGTCGCCATAGCGGAATAAACAACCAACTTATCCAGCATATGTTTGGTTAGACTAATTATCTCAGTTAAAAGACAGAACACCCAAACACTGCAGTGCTTTGTAATATTTTCAATAAATGAAACTTGTATCAAAGTGACAGCAATGTTTCGTCAGCTCTATGAAAATGGTTGATGGTCGCCTGGCAACCCCAGCCTGGGCCACGGTAAAATTGTAAAGCATTGACCGGTCAGCCGCGATAAAAAGGTTGAGGTCCACTGCCATATACAGTACTACGTATATGTCTTTGGACTGTGGGGGAAACCGGAGCACCCAGAGAAAACATGGAGAGACAGAAACCTCTGAGGTGTAATTTAAACATCTTCAATTGAGTTTAAAATATGCTAGAATGACAAAACGGTGACATTTTGACTTTAAAAATGTCCTGTATGCTTCATGAACACTGAAAAAACTCAAACTGATACACTTATCACCACAATGAGTGTACACAATGGGACATCCTGAAAAAATGAGGTGAGTGTGTTACGGGAGCAGGACGGAGGAAACCAGACTATACAGAATGGCCAGAAAGAGAGCAATGTGATGATGATGATGATGATGATGTGAGCTTTTCCTGCAGATCTTATTGATCAGAAGGGTGTGACTGGACGCCTGAGAGACGGGCCTGAGAAATCCGAGCTGGGCACTATAATTGAATCCCTATGGGGCAAGGCAAAAAAATACGATGGACAAACACGATGCATCCCACTCTTCTCTCAATCTGTTCAGAGTTACGCTACTGAAGATCTTTAAGAGAATTTTGTATGGCCAAACACAAAGAAGCCATTTTTCCCCCTCCGACTTCAAACAAATGGAGATCAGATCAGAGGCACGTGAGATGGAGGCAGCAGGAATCAATTAGAGCAGACGCTTTGATGATGTCATTGACAAGTAATCGGTGAACAGACCAGCTTCCGTTTGAGATTGCACGAAACATGAGCCTCCACCACAGCCCTATGCATTTTTAAAAGAAACCCTAGTTTATCACCCTGCACGCCTCTACAAACTTAGATCAGGGTTCTCAAACAGTTCATTAGCATGAGTCAAAAATTAAATGGCAGGATACTGGTGCGACTGGTACTGTCCTGAAAAGCACCATAGCGATAAAACAGCACTTATTCTTGATATTAAGAATAATTTAACTAAATTATTCATTTAAAAGATTCATTTCACTCAGATGTGATGTTACTATGAGTTCAATAATTTCAATTTTTTAGTGTTTTTAATTAAACTTAAACTTTACAATTTACTATTTAAAAAGTAAAACCTCATTGCCTTGAAATTATTAACTATAATTAATAAATTAACTATGTGCTGAGTTATAAGAATACATTTAAGTCAACTTAACAGTTTAAAGTTTTAATGCGTTTACTCACATTTTTAGGGTAAAGGGTTTACTTTTTTTTAAGTAAAGTATATCTAATCACTTTTTTACAGTGTTTAGACAGTTGTAACGTGTCACCGTGTCTTGTTAACAAAAGCTTTGACAATCACTTTAACTGACTCATCACAACGGACTGGTTCAAATAAGGCCACAAAATGATGTTTGATTCAATGTACACAGCAAAATTTATGTCTTGTATATGACAAATATTACTTTATTTGTTTATTTATTGTTTACATGAAGGCTTTTTAGTCTAACTAACCCATAGATACACTAGATATGGCATACGGACCCTGAGCATGCATCAATAGCGCCGCCACATTTGTACAGTGCAGGACAAAAGTCATTCAACCACACTAGTCAAGACTAAAGTCAATCTGAAGATGCTGGACTATTTTTAAGCTGCAAACGGGTGTAATAATGAGCAGACAAAGAAAATAAAGCATAAAGGCAAAACATTTCATAGGTAAGATTTAGTTTTTTTATGATTTTGTACAGTATGTTACAAACATTTGAGCTAAACAAGTAATGTTACTGATGATAATACAGTCACTTACAGCTGACCATGAGGCAAAGTAGCATTAACTTGCACTAAATGTTAGGCTTATGCTAGTTTTGTTGAATAAAATCAGCAAACAATGTAAATTAATATGAAAACAAGACGCTGTGGTGTCAGAAACTTGTATTATTGTCGGCTAAGTTCGCGAAAGTTATTTTTTTACGTAACTTATAAGGGTGCCTGATAACAAAACAGTGCCTGCGCCTCAGTGTGCATTATTGAATATTACAAATTTTATACCATTTAGATCATTAAAGTGGATATGCACATTGAGATGCAGGGATATCAATGGTTCACACGAAACATTCATAGCATTAAAAATGAAAGCAGGAGAGGGCGAGTGTTTCAGGATAGGATTAAATAAAATTTAACATGGAGGGAGGATAATACATTTTCATGCACCTAAATACATGCTCTTTGTTGGCAATTCCCATGCGGTCACTTATCCATCGATGAAGAAAAGTGATGTAAAATTATAGTCTTCGTAATATAAAAAAATAGTTGCATACTGACTACTGGGAAAACTCCAGATCGTATAAATGTTTACATGTCTATGGCTCTGGATGTTCAGTCCTCTACTACACTTTGGTTCCATATTCATTTCAAAGAAGTGCTACCCTGTACTACAATGGCGTCTCTATAGAGTAGAAGAACTCTGACATCACCTTGTAGGCCAATCGGCTGCTAGCGTAAAACTGGTTCCCTCGATAAAATCCCTATAGGATTTTCCCATAGGCTTTTGAAAAATTCCAAGTAATAAACTGTGTTCAAATACAGTTTATTACACTTACACATTTTGTTCAACCAATAATCCTCACATGAAAATATAACTTTTAACACTTTTGGATCTTGGACGCACTTTTTGGATGCAAACACAAGACCTGAAAAGCTAACATTAGGCTATAAACAGACTAAATTACTTGCCTTTTAGATGTTTTTTCCCGTGGAAAATACATATGTTTTGCTTTACGGTTGTTGTAATCATTTTAAAACACCTACTGTTTGTTATATAAACGAGCCTACAAAGTATTGTCATAAGTCAGATTTAAATAAGTGTATCACGTGCGTGCACACATCCAGCTTACTTTGCGGGGTGATTGACAGTTCTATCAAAAGCCTGCAAGTTCCATCATGGATGGAGAACAACATTCAACAGCCCATACAGCCACATACACAATACATTTTAAGAATGAGTGTAAATATTGCAGTTATGATAGACTTAAATGTGTTCAGATAAAGAAAAAAAGATTGACAAAAAAAAATCAATTGATCACGTAAAATGACAGTTATGTATTTTTACAAATGTATTCACACATTTGCATAACTAAGAGAAGGAAAGAGATAGTGTGCACTGGTAAGCAGTGCATTCATTGTTTAAATGAAATAAATGATCAACAAATGAATCAGTCTTGATGGAAGTGAAGGCATTATCTACACACAATATTTCACAATTTGAAAAACACTACAAACTATAAAATACTATTCAAGAAAATACTTAAATAACGCAAATAAAATTGGCCAACACAAGTGAGCTGCATTCCAGACCAGTTCAGCTCAATGACGTATAACGTCTCCAACATTGCCTGTTGTCCCATTTAGCAACTTGATAGCCACCGTCTTTTTAAAGAAGCGTAACCAATTTTTAAAAATCAAGAGTTTGATGTAGCTGATATGTTTTATGTCATAGAATAAAATGTGAAAGTATCTTAAGTTTTTGTTAGCCATAAACCAAATTTTAACCAAACTCCCATTCAAACAACCCATTTACATTGGGATGAGGGAACCGGAAATGCTAAAATACAAATTGACGTCATAGTTTCTCCACTCTATTGATGCATTCCTTCTAATAGACAACAACAGCATAGATGACATCTAATTTAAATATCTCTGTAACTAAGCCATCAGTCTGATTAATGACAAAACATTTAGTTTTATTTAAACTAAGCCATTATGACTTAATATAAAAATTACTTATTCATCTTTTTTTATTTTACATGGTAGAAATGGGCTTTGATAATTATGATATAAGTGAAAAATATCAGCTAGCTTATTGCTTTTATAAATCAGTGGCATTAAAATACATAAAAAATATTCAGAAGTTTATTGTAATAACATAAGCAATATTCCAAACAAACAATTCATTAGCCAAGTAATAAAGTTCAGAATCATAACAATGCTAAGCTGTTTGTGCTTTCCAAGCAATGTGGTACAGAGTTTGATGTCACACATTCATTTAATTGGAATTCAGAGTCAAAATTTATTTTGAATAATCTTCTTGAGAATCAGACAACAATCTTGATTTCCTATTTAAAAACCACCACCAAATAACAAGTATGGCTCCACTTCAGCTGTATTGCAGAAGGAGAGAGCAAGACGAGAAGCTTTGGTCTGCTCCTCATCTTATTTCCTCCAGTGAACATCAGCACTAAGCATGGCTCCATAAGCGTCCCCCCCCTCCATGTGCTCTATCTTGGAGTAAACTGTCAAACTGGCGCCACGCAGCTCCACAACATGTTCGGCGGCACATGAATATGGAGATCTGCTTGCTAAGCGTATCATGCACACTCATAGGAAAGTGTATGAAAAACAGTCGCACGCGTATACAGATTAATGGATAGTCACCAAACCCACGTAAACACACGTAATAACACAAACAGGGGTGCAGAATGAAGCTTACACCCACATCGAGCGTGAGTCAGAATCGGCATCTCCATACACACATTCGCTTCAGACTTGGAAACATGCTTAATAGTTTTGGAAACGCAAAACTATTAAAACACCAATTCCTGTGGTGAGGCCTCAGACTGCAGGCCCTTTCATAATGGAGTCATTTAGTCCGATTCTTCCCTGCGTTATCTGCCCCCGAGCGAACATTCTTATACACATTGACGTGCTGAAGATTTACAGCGTCTGAGAGAAAAACACCACGCCTCAGTGCGGCTCCGGCAAAGGGGCCTGCACACTGGCACTGAATCAGACGCATACACGTACTGTTGCATTTTTCATCGCATAAATATGTAGAATACAGACAAACAAGTTCTTTCCCCATGCCTATCATGTAAACTCAGGACTATTCAAATCACAGACTGCTTCAGAGTAAAAAATCCACAAGTTATGGGCTGACTTGGCAATTGTTTTGCACCAGATTTTATTTTAATTAAAAAAAAAACAATCATATGCTGTTAAAGCCAACAAAATTTGAAACTTGTATTGTTGAAGCAATGTTTACTTGTTTTCAGAGATAATAACGAAGTACAAATACTTCGTTACTGTACTTAACCCTCCTGTCGTGTTCAGATCCCGCCCCTTACTTTAGTGTTCCCGGACAAAATTGACCGTCTGTTTTAACTGCTCTAAAATTAGCACACACACACAAAGAAAAAACATTTTTCACCACCAACTTTTTATTCCACATTTAATAAAATAACTGCAGTGAAAATGCAAGGCATTAAAAGAAAAGAAGAAAGAAAGAAAGAATTAGAAATTAGAAGAATTTCTTTCTTTCTTTCTTTCTTTCTTTCTTTCTTTCTTTCTTTGTGCATGTCTTTAGACTGTGGAGCAAATAGTTACCTACCTAGTGAAACTACAACATGTAATTGCAATGGGTGCTTTCTACTTTTTACTTTTAATACATTTGTTTAATACATTTTTGAGTAACACAAACAACTTTGCCAACAGGCTTCTATTAAAAAGTACTGTACATAAACTTCAAACATGGCAGACTTAGTAAAGATTACTAGACAAATTAATTCAGAAGCGTTTTGCAGATTTTGAAAATAAAAAAGGAATTAATATATAAAATTAACATTTTAAAATATAATACATTGTTAAATTTATTTAAAAAAATTACAAATGTTAAATAATTGTAAGGTTCACTTAAAACTTAAAAGAATAGTAAACCTAAAATGTAATTTTACTCACAATTTTCTCACAATCACATGGTTATAAACCTTTCTTTCTTCTGTTGAACACAGAAGATATTTTGAGGAAAGCTGACTTCCATAGTACAAAATAAAGGTAACACTTTATTTAACTGACTATAAGAAACTTTGCAAGTACATGTCAACTTACACTAACCCCAACCTAACAGTTTACTTATAATCTATCGAGAATTAGTTGGCATGTAGAAGCAATGTAACTTAAATTTTATCTTTTTCTTTAGATTGTTTATTGTATTTTATGGAGATGCAGTCCCACTGCAGAATCATCCCAATCGAACTAACAATATAAATTCTTTCCAAATTCTTTCCAGATTTGAAGTCATCTGGTGAAATTGTATTCATATCGCAAAAGAAAATAATATTTCCAATATTGTGCAGCCCTAGTTTTGAATGAACTGTCTATATATGCAAGAACAATAACTGCAATCATTTTTTTCAAGACTTTGTTACAATAATAATATACACATTTTTATATTATTACAATTCGTTACAATTTATAAATATGTAAAGGCTTTAAAAAAATCATATTTTTGATGATAAACTGTACCTCAAATTTGATAAAAAGGTTCATCTACACTGACAAATTCTGTTTTATAGCATTGCAGTGTTGACTGTTAAAAGGGGGTATTTAAAAATTATTTAGTTCAAGTATGTCAGTGTTGGTAAATCCAATCTTGCTTTTTTTTTTGCAATCTTAATATTACATTCTGCAAAAAGCTGTTCTGTAGCAAAACATGCATCAGATATGGAACATAAGGAACAGCAACTGAGCAACCTGGACCTCGTTAGAGTTAACAACTCAGGTTGTGTTCACACGTCTTTGGTCTCAGAATATAATGTTTACTTTGGACATTCGTTTAGCATTCCCTCTGTCATTTTTAAGTGAACCTAAAGACCCAAAACAATAACAAATGCAGTGTTTTAGATGTATATTTTGCAACTTGCAAAACATCCAAAACAGTACTGTGCTTGTATGTTTGAGCATGTGATAGTATTTTTATCAGCCGAAAACTTGTAAAGTGCTTATAAATGTGTAGAGGATTAGGATTTCCTCTGTCATGCACACAAATGAAGATCTGCTGCACAGAGATGCATTTCTGATGTCTGTATTGAACAGTAAAGAGCAATAATGAGACTATTCCAAGAAAAACAGGGTATGCTTGAGCAATTCTGTCCATTTAATCTTGTGACATCATGTCTAGTTTTTGGTTTGCTGAGAAGTTTTTGGTCTGTGTTGCATTTATATTTCAATAACTGCTTCAAATTCTTAAAGAAGATCGAGACATGTATTTTCATTGGTCGCTTGTTTGGGTTCAGATGGGAGTGTTCACACATACCAATAAACAGAAATGTGCACACATCTGGGATTTTTAAAGGCGCTTGTTTAAAAACAAAAACAGTGGCAAAAGTAAAAAGAAAATCTACACACTGCCACTTTAACTCTCAGAAATGTTTTATTAACAACGTTTTGACCTACATGGTCTTCATTGACAATACTTTGTCTCCACTGGGGTTTAAATTTGGATTTTAATTGAAATATTTTTTGTAATTATATATATGCATCACATATTGTCATATGTATTCTGTTGTGTGTGTGTGTGTGTGTGTGTGTGTGTGTGTGTGTGTGTGTGTGTGTGTGTGTGTGTGTGTGTGTGTGTGTGTGTGTTCCACTTGTTTACTGGGTTGTTGGTTGATTGGTGTGATTACTGTTTGCAAGTGTTATGTGTAGACCTTGACTATTTCTTGAGTTCTCTTGTTTTCTTTATTAACCTGATGAAGACCATATAGGTCGAAACACTTAAAAAAATAAATAAATGAAAGCTAAAGTGGCAGTGTGTCAATTTTCTTTTTACTTTTTCCACAGCGTTCACACATACCCCATGTCCACCAGCACGTTCAGAGCAAGTGATCTTTCCAGTTCAGAGATGGTTCCTCTAGCAAACCTTCTAAATTTGCTTTGCTTTTTTACCAAAACTTCAAGCTGATGACCGTTAAACACATCATCACAGTCTTGTAAAAGGGTCCATAACTTGTCCATGCAGAGCACTATAATTTGTATAGAAGGACAGTAAAAGGGAGAATAATGTGTTTGCGTAGCATGCCTTTATTTGAATAGACAGAAAATAGGATTAATGATGTGTTCAACATTATGTTCCACTGCTAGTTCAAACATGGCGCTCAAAACTGTTTCTGTTAAACTCTTTGGTCACAAAAACCCTGCCCTCAGCCCCTGGCACAAATGGTTCTTACTTCTCGCCCAGAAATGTTTTTGGTGCTACTTCAGATCCACTTTTCCTGTTGGAAAAAGGGATCGCCGAGTTCATTTTAATCATACTTTAAAAGTATGAACATACCGTCAGTGAGCTTTTCTTATGTTTTACATATGACTTTAGCACTTTCCAACATTTTAAGTCCAGAGCAATTTTGAAAATGTTTAAAAGTGATAATGTGTACAGATATTAAAATGAAAACCCTTTTTTTCAAATCTGGATTAATGATTTTTTTTTTGTGTGTTCTTCATTCCACTAGCTCTCCATCTGTTACCCTACTCTCTCAGACAGAGAGATGCAGTAGCTCTTTTCTAAAGGTGAACTTTTTAGAGATTAATATGTATAATTTTAGTAATAATATATACCTTTAAGGAACCAATATGAACTCTTTTATTACAAATATTCTTAAAAGGCATCGCCCCAGTGACTGCTATTGTATTTCTGAGGTTATATGCAGTCCAGAGTTACCACCTAGAGCACTGTGGAGGGTCTCGGGCAAAAGCTGGCGGCTTTTAGGATCCTTCTGCCAATCAGTTTACAACTCTCTTGCTGCTCTCCCTTCCGAAGTGGAATGACAAACCAAAGCCTCTTGGCATGGCCAGAGCAGACGGACCCAATTTCTGCTTTGCATAAAAAAAAGTCAAAACCACACACAAGCGCTACGAATGAACAGAGGAAAGAAGGAGGAGAGGAGGAAATAGCGCCAAGCATCAGATCTCCTTAAAGCCTTACAGCTGAAGCCTCCATCTCAGAGGAGATCACATTTCAACAAGATTGAGTTTAAGTGGTGGAGACAGAAGCTGCATGAAAGGGAGGGGGGGAAAGAGTTGCTTTCTCTAGTAATAGTAGAGGAGGAAAAAATGGCACAATATAGTTTACACAGAGCCAAAAGCTGAAGTCTAAAGCGTAGTGTTGAGCCATTTGCATCAAATAAAGAAGCTAATATTAAAAATGCTTCACTGAATTCCCTCTGCTTTCCTTCACATCACATTTTATCTTGTCATATGGTCAATAAAGTACTTATTTGGGCTGATTTTAGTCTGGCTGCACAGGGACCGTTGCTCTTGGCTGGGACAGGGTTAAAGACTCCTCCCTGGGGCTGTGCCTGCTACCGCTAAAATTAAACCTCCCCCACAGCTGGTTCCCATTAGCCTGCAGTGACACTAGGAGCCTGTACTTAAGCTGTGCTGTGGGGGCTCCGCCGCCCCGCTCAGATAATACTACTGTCCCCTGCCACAGGCCAAGTATAAACTGGCCCGGCACAGCTTCTGCTAGCAACCACTGTGTTTTCAGACCAGGAGAAAAGAAGAGGAGAGAAAGGTGAGAGTTACGGAGACAAAGCATTATGGACAAAAGAGCCTGTCTATGGTGAATGGAGGGGAAAACATCAAGCCTGTTGTCCCTTTTGTGTTCATCATAGGAGGAAAGACATTTATTTCAATCAGCCAATCAGAATTAAGGGATACGTTTACCGTTTATGTTTAGACTTAAGGTTTGGTTCATGCACTTCTACATGATTCTTATCCAACTATTATTCCCCTCTGATTTTGATAATTTACAGGTATTGTGGGGGTTTAGAGGTAGGGAATAGGTACATTTTCCAACATAAATGATGTTCCAGGATCAACATAAATGTTAATCCAGGATCGCATTGTACTTGGCAAAATTATGTGTTTGTTTTAATTAATGCTTTTGATTTTTCTTGTTTTGTTTTAATTATAATTTTAAAAAGTGTTAATATTTTTCTTATTATTTAAGTGAAATTGCTCATATTTCCTTGGAAATCCCGATATTAAATACATCTTCATAAATATTTCATTTTTTAACATACTTTATTTCAAGTAATTTAGCTAATAAAAATATTTGTATTCATTAATTTGTTTAAATATATTTTTCAGGAGTTTACACCTTTATTAGATAGGACAGTGGAGTTGAGACAAGAATACATGGGGAGCAGAGAGAGGAGGGAAACGATTGGCAAAGGACCTTGAGCCGGGAATCAAACTCAGGTCGCCGAGAGCATCTAAGTGCTACATGTCAGCACACTTTACCGCTATTGGTGCCAACAAAATATTTGTGTTTTTTTATTATTATCATAGCTCTGTGAGCAACCCTGGAAAGGATGACAGGATACTAACAATGGTCAGCATATATAAGTACACCCCTCACAAATCTATATTTTAAATTCATATTTTTAATAGGAAGCTATACAATATTATATTTGTGCATATACCTTAGATTAGTGAGTACTAAAGTTAAATCTGTAGCTTATCTAACAAAATAACTTGGTTGATAGTGGTCCAAAAATTAGTACACCCAAATTTATACGTTATTTTGTAATAAATAAAAAAAAGAAAAAATCAAGAGAAGTAGAAAAATGTCAAATTTTGTTGACAGTTTGTAAGATGTATATATATTTTTATACAATATATATATATATATATATATATATATATATATATATATATATATATATATATATATATATATATATATATATATATATATATATATATATATATATATATATAGTCAATATTTTGCTTGAATTTATTTGTATTGTATTTCAATTACTAAATATATTTGGTGACTAAAATTTTATTTTAATAAATATATCTGTTTAATAAATCTGTTTTGTTGAAATGCAACAAAATACATTGCCTATATTCACTGAGAAATGGACTAAAATTTTATTTTTCAAAATGGTGTGTACTCATTTATATTGAGCACTATAACTGCATTAATTTCTAAATCTTTTAAATATTTAGATGAGTTTATCACTATCTAATGCTTAAAAGTTCATCTTTATTTGCTATACAAATTATAAATAACGTTTAACTATAGACCCACAGCCACAGGCAAATGAGAGAGAGAGAAAGAGGGAGGTTTAATTATCATAAAAATATTCTTTTTTGGTATCAGCAAGAATCTTTTGCTTAAAAGAAATAAACGTGTGGTCCTCCAAAATCACACTCTCAATAATGTAGAATGAACAACTTGATCCCAAACAGAGTTTAAACACTTTCCTCATGGCACATTTCAAAGTTAATCTAATGATATATTTTCTTTTTATCAGGCATATCATCAGACGGCTGTGAGTAAAGCCATATAATTAAGGTGATCTTGCCTCACTGAGTTTCGCGTCTTCTTTATAACTATGCTTTTATCTCTAAATTACTTTTACAGTTTGGGAGTCTGGCAGCGAAACACAGCGCGGTATCATGAGCAACGAATGAGACGTTGCTGACTGATTTATGGTGTGAGAAATAAACCAATCTGCAGTCTTGTAAGGACACTTCAGCCAATAAGCAGACATTGCTCGCACGTTCCTGATGACAGGCAGCACATATCGCACATGGTTTTGTATGCTGGGACAAACTGCAAGTCTGAACGCTTTCCGGTTCGGGTAATATTTTAGCCGTAGTCTATTAAAACCATAGCTCTTAAAGAGGGATCTGTTTGTGGAAAAGGTTAACAATCAGTTTAATTAGGAGCAGAGGCTGGGGCGCACGCATGAACTCTCCCGCTCTGACACTCACCGCTCTATAGGGAATTCACCATGTCAGACATTCACAGTGTGTGTGTGTGTGTGTGTGTGTGTGTGTGTGTGTGTGTGTGTGTGTGTGTGTGTGTGTGTGTGTGTGTGTGTGTGTGTTGTGTGTGTGTGTGTGTGTGTGTGAGGGAAAAAGAGAGAAATTAAAGGATGAAAGGAAAACAGAGGGCATGTGAGTGAGGAGAAGGAACAAAGTGAGAAAGGAAGGGAGGACAGACCTTATCGGCAAAGTTTGTCCATTCAGGATTTCCTTCCAAACAAAAGAGAAAGGAAACTCCAGCTCTCAAATGTGTTACATGGATATAAATCTGTCAAGAGCACTTGTTCAGGTCATTGTTTTTTTTCAAGATTTTTTCTAACAAGTTCTAAAACTGTGGATACATCTCTAATTTAATATAAAGATTAGGATGAACAAGACACATGAGATAAACTACACAAATTTGGCAACAACCACTATGGGTGACAATTTGTCATCTTAAAGTACTCATAGTGTACCTGCCCAGTGCTTTTAAAATGACTTTTACTGATGAAACCAAATAAAGCAAATTGATTCAGACAGCTGATAATAGTGTATTTCTTAAATGACTTGGCCCTTAGGTTTAGGTTGCTAAATAAATAAATAAATAAATAAATAAATAAAGAGTTAATAACAGCTTATCAGAGATCAAAAGGACAAGCACAGGTGTTCCTTAAGGCTGTGTCAGTTCCCCAATTTTGTTTACACTGTTTACAAATGACTGTGTACTTCATAGTTCCAGTAATCCTATAGTAAAATACTCAGATGATACAGGGGTACCATTTTGTATGAACACAGTGACCCCTCAGTCTACCATTTAGAGGTTGAAAGGTGAATTGGTGCACTTTAAACTATCTTTTTATTAATATCAACGAAAAAGAAAATTGAGTCAATTGAAAATCATTCACCTTTGGTTATTGACACAGAGGCCATTAATCAGTGTGCTCTTATAAATATCTGGGTGTTCACATAGATTGTTTGCTTACCTGGGGTTCACACGTAGACAGTATTTGTTCTTCTGTGCAGCAGTGACTGCATTTTTTTTATGGAGATTGAGAGTTTTTGGGGTACAGCAAAAAGCTTGTTTGATAAGTTTGTTAAGATGTTTTTTATTTTACAAAGCTGTGATTGAAAGCATAATATGCTATGGATTTACTGTGTGGTATGGAAACATTACAGTTCAATCTAAAGATAAGCTTGGCAGGCCGGTAAAGACAGCCATGAGAATCACAGAGAAAAGGGAATATCGATCCTTACAATCTCTCTATGAGCAATCAGTTCAGGATAAAGCTATTGAAATATTAGCTGACCCCTCGTACAGTTTTTTTTTTTTTTTTTTATGATTTTGAATTACTGCCTTCTGGTTGATGATACAGGCTGCCTGTGTGCAGATATTGAAATCTTTTTTTACCTATATCAATTAAACTTTTAAATATGTAATATTTGTTAATGATTGAATGTTTGTGTTGATTTGTGTTTTGTGTTTTTTGATGTCTGTTTCTATCCAGTGTATGCAAATTTGGGCCTAGAGTCCAAGACAAATTTCCCCATTGGGGACAATAAAGTGTAAACAAACAAACAAATATACAATTCTTAAAAATAAATTGCATTTCAAATTCAAAAACTAATTATGGAACAGCATATTAATACTATAGATCTTCAAAATATATTACAATACTAAGATTCAACAGTGAATATGTACAACAAGAATGCACAATAGTAAGCAGTAGTATGCATTGATTACCTACAAATGAGCATTGTATGGAAACATTACTGCCTTTTTGTCAAGCAAAAAATACTTATATACACTGTTATGTGTTAAGTTGACTTAACATTTTTTATGCACATATTTAATTTACTTAATAATTTTAAGGCAACAGGTTTACTCCCTTTTTAAAGGCAACTAAACGCAATTTAACAGTGAATTAAACCTAAATTTTGCACCGTAATATATTTTTTTTTAAGTTGCCAATTCCCATATTTACAGATCCAATACAACATTTTATAATTTAAGAAGAGCTGTAACATACAGGTATACAGTTTTAGTTAAGTTACTTTAAAAAGATAATTGATTACAAATTACGGATTACTGGAAAAATGTAATCTGATTACATTACTAATTACTTTACTTTGAAGTTACTTTGAAAACATAAAATATACCTATAAAAATCCGAAATAAACTGCAGCTCTTTCAGTAATTTAATATACACTGAAAAACGGGTAATTAGCAGCTTGACATTAGCAGCTTGAGTTCACCCCAAACAAAACATTCTCTCATCATTCACTTGTTCCAAACATGTTTGCCTTTTTTTAATACAAAAGAAGAAACCTGGATACCTGTAATCATCGACATCCATAGTATGGAAAAGCAATGCAGTGTTTAGGTGTTCTGTGTTTGTCTGGGGTAATTAGTCAACCTAAATGTGTATATTTCAAGGTATGAAGCAGATCGGTCAGTTCTTGTCAAGTGACTCAAATGATGTGCCTGGGAAATGCACAAAAGATGTCAAAGCAATCGAAAGTTCTTTAGACTGCATTTCACAGCAGTATCTTAGTTTTTACGCTCAATGAAATCAAATGTCTGTATTATCACTTGAAAAAGCAACTGCTCTCAACTGCAACCATTTCAGCTCATGTTCTCCAGCAATTTAAAAGCACATGCTTATAAACTGACATTACCCCTGAAAATGTGATTTAAAAGATTTTTTTCTTCTAAAAGCTACATTTGTAATGCAAGTAATGTAATGTAAATGTAATGTAATGTGTATTTATATAGCGCATTTATTGTGTATGGCCGTACACCCAAAGCTCTTCACAATCATGAGGGGGGTCTCTCCACACCACCACCAGTGTGCAGCATCCACTTGGATGATGCGACGGCTGCCACAGGACAACGGCGCCAGTGCGCTCACCACACACCAGCTATTGGTGGAGAGGAGAGACAGTGATAGAGCCAATTCGGTGGAAGGGGATGATTGGGAGGCCATGATCGTAAGGGCCGATAGAGGGACTTTGGCCAGGACACCAGGGTTACACCCCTGCTCTTTCACGAGAAGTGCCAGTTGATTTTTAATGACCACAGAGAGTCAGGACCTGGGTTTAACGTCTCATCCGAAAGACGCCACCCACTGACAGTGTAGTGTCCCCTTCACTTTTACAGGGGCATTAGGACTCACACAGACCACAGGTTGAGCGCCCCCTGCTGGCCTCACTAACACCACTTCCAACAGCAACCTAGTGTTCTCCCATCCAGGTACTGACCAGGCTCAGCCCTGCTTAGCTTCAGTGAGTAACCGGTCTTGGGCTGCAGGGTGATATGGCTGTGTAATGCAATTACATCGACTTTCGTAATCAAATTACAAAAATTTAAAATGTAATTCATTAGATTACTGCGTTCCTTAAAAATGTAATTAGAATACAGTAACACTTCACTGTGGAACCTGTTACACACAACTCTGCAGGTATCATATAAATACCATAACGCAACGTCATCTGATGCCATCAAAGTACACAATAAGAAAAATCTTACATGCCTCTGACCAACCAACAAAAAATATTGCACTTGAAAAGGGGTAAACAATACTAAACACAAAGTTGCAACAATCCAACACATCTAAGCACAGCCATATGAGTGTGTATGTGTGTCTGGTAGTGTCAGAGTGTGTTAGGGTATGCATGGCTTGGGCTGTATTTTGAAGGCAGACGGTGTGAGTCTCATTAAAGCTGCATGGATCTGCATTCTGGCAGAGGTGACAGACAGGTGGATAGGATTACCAGTGAGCACGAGCTCAGAAACACGCATGCTCGGGCCACGATCGACGCACACACCCTTCACGCCTTTTTAAATAATTAACAGCCAAAGATTAGTCCGTCAGCCTCGGGGCCAAAAGGTCCATTGATTTCTCACGGATGCATTTTTAATGAGCGCATCTCAGTGAGGCAGCATCCGTGAAGAGAGGCTTCCTTGTCCACAGCAGCGCTAGAAACACCGGCAGCTTTGCGAAAGGGGCTTGTGGTAAAAACACAAACAAAGCCAGTAAGTGCTTCTCTAATGTCTCGCACTACACAAAGGCTTGAAGGGAAAGGCCTCAGGGGTGACCTTAAAAGAACCTATGGCAAAATGCTATTTAATCCGGCCTGAGCGTTTCCTTTAATTGGTCTTGTGCGACCATCCATAAAGCTGTTAGCCGGCGGCATATTTCCTAATCAGCCTTTATGAACTGTAAACATCTCGGCACTGGGCTCTTTAAAGCATTAGAAGACTTGAATTAAATTTGTAGCACATTTGGTAAGTGTGATAGATATGGTAGGAAAGTGAGCGCAGAAGAATGCCTGACGGTGTTGATTACGTATTTCCCTTTCTTTACAGTATAATGTTTCACAGGAGATACAGTGAGACAAAAGTCCAGCTGAGAATCTGATTTACTCTACATTCAACAAGATTCATGGAAGGGGTTAAAGGATTGATGCCCAACCAATGAAAACTGTGTGATCAGTTTCTCCACCTTGGAGGTTTTTTCTTTATTTTTTTTTATTTTGTTATGGATGTATGGATGGATGGATGGATGGATGGATGGATGGATGGATGGATGGATGGATGGATGGATGGATGGATGGATGGATGGATGGATGGATGGATGGATGGATGGATGGATGGATGGATGGATGGATGGATGGATGGATGGATGGATGGATGGATGGATGGATGGATGGATGGATGGATGGATGGATAGATAGATAGATAGATAGATAGATAGATAGATAGATAGATAGATAGATAGATAGATAGATAGATAGATAGATAGATAGATAGATAGATAGATAGATAGATAGATAGATAGATAGATAGATAGATAGATAGATAGATAGATAGATAGATAGATAGATAGATCAGCATATATGAGTGCACCCTATAGGAATCTTTACAATATTAGATTTGTGTATATACATTATTATTCAGCACTGAAGCCAAATCTGGAGCTAATCTAACAAAATAAATTACAATTAGTAGCTCAAATTTATGTTAGGGAAAAATATTAAATGATATCTTAAAAAACAGCAAAAATCAAAGAGGAACAAATAATATATACAATTTTGTCTAAATGTTTCTAAGTTTGTAAAAAAAAATTTTTTTGCAATATTGCATGAATTTAAATGTCTTTTCTTTTCATTTCCAAAGATGTTCTGTGAGAAAAAAATATTTTAATAAATATATCTGTTTAATAAATCTGTTTTGTTCAAATGCATCAATATATTACCCATATTCACTGAGAAATGGATACAAATATTTTCAAAATGATGTGTGTTCATTTATGCTGAGCTGACTTCAACTGTATGTATATATATATATATATATATATATATATATATATATATATATATATATATATATATATATATATATATATATATATATATTAATAAATAAATGTAATTAAAACTTTCACAGGATTTCTAAACAATTAATTTTTTAAGCCCCTAATAAAATATTGTTAAATTAAATAACTTCATAATAATTTATTAATCTAAATAATTCCAATTATTTAGACATGATTTCTTTTTCTTACAAAAATGCATTTTGGTCATTAAAACCTGGAAAATGTCATTTAGAAAGAAAATTTGTGGAAAAAACTTCAGAGAAAAAAATAGTCAATTAAATATAATCTATAAAAATTCAAATGGAAAAACGGTGAATTTAGAGTGAAAAACTGAACATGGGAAATAAATGAATAAAATAGATTACTCAGAGACATATGGCGGTTTAGATCAACAAAAATATGACTAAATGATGACTTCATTTTTATTTTCAGTTGGGACTATTCCTGCATGTTCGCAGCCTTTCCCTACTGATTAAACGTGCGTTTTAAAAGTCAGGAGCACTTATGGATATACAGTACTGTATGCCTTTGACAACCTTGTCAGAAATAAATCTATAGTTTATTAGTTATTTATAACTAATAGTTATAGTTTTGAAAGGAAAAAAGACGATCACTGCAGTACTGTTTTATCTCACATTCTTATGGTTTTAGGGAGTATATGCATTCCTTAATCCAGAAAAAGAAGAGGGAGTTGTTGAAAGACCAATTCAAAAATCGAAAACCGATGAGCGTGTCTAAAATAACACTGCTACAGAAATAAAATCCAATGTTTAAACATAAAATGGAAAGCCATGCCATGTTTTATTCAAGAGAGACTGTTTTTCTTGCTGTCTGCAGTGTAATATTTCAAGGGTTCGTTTTTCCTTGAGATGTGTGAGAGAGAAACGTATCATTATGGAAAATCAAGGCTTTTGCCCGTCTAAACCATGGATACGTCTGGTTTGAAAAAGTGACACACTTCCTTTGCAGGAAGGAAAAGACGAAAGAGAAACAGAAATGACTTCTTCAATCATTCCTCAGATTTCATAAATCATGCATGTGGCTTTTTTTACTTACAAAAAGTTTAGCATGTATTAATGGTTTGAGTGTGTGTACATTATGAGCTGATTTATATTTTAAGGGAGATGAGGGGGCGTGAGTTAGAGTTTAAACAGGAATAATTGCAAATACAGTCAAAGAAAGAGTGTCAGGACTACCTTTCCCGTCTCCCGCTCGAAGTCCACATATTCTCGGGTGGGCGCCTGCCGCTGATCCCCATGAAGGTTGGCTGGGAAGAACTGCAGCGAGAGGTTGGTGCCGGTCGCCACAAAAGCCTTTTAGAGGGAAATCAATACAAACAGGATAAGAAAGCCAGGCCCGAGCATAAATTATGCAGCCCATCATTTCTGTTTTCACATCAGAGAGAAGAAGAGAATGCCTGGAGCCAAGGCCAGCGCTCAAAACATCAGGAAAAGAAGGGAGGGGGGAGGGGGGTGCGCAACGCAAAGAGAGAAAAAAACACAAGTCATCATTTTCCCTATTTGAGGTATTGAGTTACACACATCTGATTCTATTTTACCAACGCTCAATGCTGGCAAAGCGGGCTGCGCCAAACTGAGTTTGAGAGGAGACAGAACGCAGGAGTGAATGAGTGACAGACAGATAACAGAGACCGAGACGAGTACAAAATCAATAATTGTTTTAAATTCAGACCCTCACTTACTTTAATAGCAGCTGGACTGCTGTAAAGGTTTTGAATTATGGTTCTATAATTCAATAACATTCTCAAGGAACATGAGCAACAAAAAGAGGTTTAAGCTAAACTGGCTTGCAGAATTTAGTTTTGTTTTAATTAAGTATACAAAGAAAAATCCCTCTTATGTCAAGAATAATTATACATTATATCAACCACTGCTCAGCATCATCGCAACGGCTAAATTAGTCTCTGTAGCTTTGTGCAGACCTGTTCCCATCTCTGAACCTCAACATTTAATCTACTGTTGACATTAAGGGCAAATAAGGCCAAATGTGACCGCGTCTTTCTGATTAAAGAACTAAAGTGCACCACATGCGAGTACAACACAGCTAATGTGCATAAGCATTGAAAGCATGATGACAAAACTTTGCCTCACAAAGCACAGATTATACAAACAAAAACTATGTTGTATTTTATATAAGACATTATTAAGCATTTACTAGAAAGATAACAATCAACAAGGCTTAAAGTGATGTGTTTGATGAGACTGTGCCTAAAATCGAATTAAATAAAAAGTGACATCAAACAGAAAAGCAGCAATAGATTTTATTGTATCTGTCTGGTTTGAGCTAACGTTATAATAAGCTGAATACGTTTATTTTGAATTATTGTAACAGTTGTCTCATCTATTCTTAGAAACAAAACGGGCAGCTAAATACAATCTCAAAACAACCCTGAAGATATGAGATTTAAAAAAGGGATAAACAGGCCTTCATCAAACCATAGTGCGTAACTCTAAAATATTTAGTCAATAGCTAACTTTAAAATTTTAAAAAGCTAAATATTTTAGGCTACTAGATCTAATAAATAGGAGAAAGACTCTTAATACACTCTGCCTGTTTTAAGCAGACTGTAAATTAGACACGTCCGAGTTCATCTGCACCCGTGAGACGCGTTTCTGATTACAATTAAAAGCCGACAGGCATTTTACGCATTGTTGAATTGTTTACAGTTCTGACAACTGGGTAAATTAAACACATATAATAATTATACAATATGGATCATAAATGCTATCTTTGTTGCTTTGGCGCTCAAAAAATATAAGGAAGTATTCAGATGGTTTTTGGGTGACAGAGTTTGAGATGCATGTTCACGGCATTGTTTAAATACTGCGTCGGCTGCATGAACGCAGGGTCAGTGTTGTAATTGTCCGGTGCTGTGAGGTGCGTGTACTCACTATCTCTGAGCGGCCGTCACGGCACGCGTTCTGGAAGCGCGCCTGCCTTTCCTCGTGCGGCCGATCGCGGAAACCGGTGTATTTAATCTGTAAACAGGGATGAAAAAGGCACAGAACAGAGAGTGTTATTACCCCTATATAACACATTTTTTGTTACTTGTCACACACGTCTCTTAATGCTCAGTTTCAAGATTTATTTTAATGTTTGAACAACATTTTAAATCAAACTGTAGAGAAAGTCGGTTGATATATAGGCTATAATTTTTTTCACATTCTGACTTTGGTTTTCAGCTTTTAATGGATTTTATAAAGCCTGTGTGACCTGAGGTAAACTAATTTGGTTACTCAAATAAAAAATAAAAAAGCATATTTTTAGGCTACACAAAAACATGATGCGCCTTTTTAAAGTGAGATATTATCAATTGGAATTAGAAGTAAACTATTTGTATAACAATTATGCCAAAAGCTGATGTTCACTGCTACTTCTTTCATTATGTCAAGATGCTTCCGATACAGCATAACGCTGAAACTGCGGTGAACAGAAGGATAAAAACTTCTCAGCAGTCAGTATTATCGGTGGCTACACAGAGCTCGTTAAAGAAAGAGGCGATGACATGCTTGTTTTCATGTCACGCGAGAGGTGCAACTTTGTTTCCGCCACTTTATCAAATGTCTCGGATGAATCGAGCTCACCTCGCACTCGCGGCTGAGTTTCCTGAAGAACTCCTCGTTCTCGAACTTGCTCCTCTGATCCGGGACCACCCGAGGCATCTTGAACGCGATTTGATCAATTTTGTTAATGGTATATTCGTCTAAACTTGCCAAGAAGAGTGAAGCGTTGCCTTGAAACTCGCCAGCCCCGCTCTTATTTCCTTCCGTCTTTTTTCTCTTCTAATGATGGAGTGTGCTGCAGTGAGCTTTGTGCTCTTTAAAGTATAAAAGCTCCTTTGGAGTTGGCTTCTTGTATGGTCCGTGAGCTGTACTGCTCTCGGTTTGGCAGTAGTTTGCAGTTGGCTTGTTGTTCTTCCTCACTCTCGCGCGTGTGTGATCTCCGACTGCTGACAACAGACGCTCGCTCGCGCTACTTTATCCGT